AACACATGATGCATATGATAAAGCTTTTAATTCTGCATCAAATGATGCGATCCTTTTCTCTCGGCTATGAACTGGACACTTCAAAGCATACTTAGCAAATTACACATAGCAGTGACCATACATTATCGAAAATTTTTCCTGTTGCGAAACTCATAGCCGAGAGAGAAGAAATGGTGCATTTGATACAGCTTTTAATTCTGAGTGAAAGTATATTTTGGTTTTCTCCCGGCGAAGAAGTGAAGGCTAAAAAAAAAGAGTGACATTCGATGAAGAAAGAGGTGAACTTATAGCGGATTTTTTTTGGTGATTTTTTTCGGTTGTTCGGTACACACGGTTGATGTTTTAGTAGACAGTGCGAATTTTAAACACTTGGTAAGCTATGATGGCGTTTGATGGATGTGTTTTGTAAGGATGATTTCATGGTGACTAAGGATTATGTGTCGGTATTATCTGGAGTGTAGTAGGTATTTTGTGGTTTTTCTGTGATTGGTTCATTGAATGAAGAATATGATTGGTCGTCGTGGTAGCTTCACATCGATGTGATATTACCCATTTCTATCTATATCTTGTTTACTATATATATACAAAAATGTTGATTGGACACATTTTTTTCTTCAATAGGGGAGTATGTTACAGTGATGTCGCACTGATACAACTCGCCATCTATTTTCATTTTTTTTTTATTTTATTTCTTATTTCTTTCTCATTGATATATCTAGTCTTTTCCTTTGTTATCCATATATTTAGACTCTGTTCTCTTTCTTTTCTCTCTTCTCTTTTCTCGCTCACTATATATGTACGTGTTTTCTATCATTTAAGATCAGATAATAAAAGATCGTATACAAGTACACACACACCTATATTTACAATTTTAAAGAAAGAGAACGAGTTTAGCGTTGATCTAGAAAGACGAACGCTAACACCTCGCATCCACACAAATATAAAACTACTATTTTTTACAGAGAGATAGATTGAAAAAAATGAATCTTTTTCATTTTCTAGAATTGATTTCTAAGAAACAAATGAGAATGTTAGCAAATTTTCAAAAAGACAAAAAAAACAATTAGAAAAACTTTATAATATAGCTACACATTAGCAGAGCAGTGTCTACCCCTGAAAAACTTATGTCTTATTTTTCCTTAAACTTAAACGATGGCAGCTACGATATTCATATCTGAGATAATCATGGATGACCCTATAGGATAGAAGGTTTTGAATCTCTCTTGGCGTGAATACACTTAAATATGTTTTCTCATAAGAATTCAGACTCCTACATATTCTAGTCATCTAACATGAAAACATTGAAAAATATATCGTATTTTCTGAATGACAATCAAAATTAGACTAGAAAACTTTATTAAAAGAAGTCAAAGTAGAGTTCAAGTCGAGACCCACAAAACAAAACAAAAGACAAAAAAAACAATCAGTTTCAGATCCGAAAACTCTTGATTGATCGGGTGTGGATCCGGATTCGAGTCCAAAAAAATTAATATGATCAGGTCTGGGCCCCGTTCGACTTCAGAAATTCTTGGACCCGCTGGGCTACACCGCACACCCACACCCAAAATGTCATTTTTTAAGAGACGTCCTTTATCAATGACTTCTACAAGAAAATAACATTGACGTTCACGATGAAGTATTAATTATTTCTTTAGTTTTTCTTTTTTTTTAACAAAAGTTCATTTAAATTAATATACTTGAATTATTTCGACATGAAAATATAACCGAATTTTATGGTTGTCTAAAATATGGTGCAGCTTCTTATATATATCTTGAATATGTTGCTGGTGGTGCACTATTGAACAAAGTTGGTTCGAGATTAATCATAGAAATAGTAAAAAACAAATTTTTTTTTTCTTTCTTAGAACGTTATGGTAGTCTTCCAGAAGATATTGCACAACATTACTTTAAACAGCTTATTTGTGGACTGGCAGAAATAGATTTAACAAAACAAAAATGAATTTCTTAAACTTGTTCTTGTAGGCTTATATTCATAGTCTTGGTGTTGTACATCGATGTTTGAGAATCATTTAATTAGATTTATTAATTTTTTTCTTTTTTATTAGATCTTAAACCTTCTGATAGCACATAATAGTAAAATAATAATAGATAAAAAGAAAAACAAATTCGTTTTTTTTCAATTAGATATGATCAAAATAATAGACTTTGGACTGGCGAGTTTGTTTAGGAATGAAACAACTCATGACGAAAAATTATTGACGACTTATTGTGGCACAAGACCTTATATATCACCGGAGGTAAATTGATTCTAATGAAGATGAATAAAATGTGATAATAATTTTCTTTTAGGTTTACTCTCGATTACCCTATCGGGATGAACCTGCTGATATATGGTCTTCTGCCATTATTCAAATATTCATGTTGACCGGAAGTAAATATTATTATAATATTTCTTTTCTTTTTATTTTATTTTATTTTGTTTTAGACTTACCATGGAGTGAACCATCTGATAAAGATCGAAGCTATCAATTATGGTTCTATGGTAGATATGATAATGATCCATGGAAAAAGATACAAAAAATGATATTTGATCTTCTTCGTCATACATACGAAATAAAAATGTGTCGCATGTGTCGTGATTTGCGACACATTGTACGACACATTAAAGTGCGACACAAAGAGCTCACTGCGACACATTTTCTCCAGCGAGACCACGACACATTTCGTACGACACATGCGACACATTTTTTATTGGTTCTTTTAGAAAAGCATATTTCGATTTGTTTTTCAATTTAATTTCATTTAATTATTCTTATTCTGAAAACTCAAGCAGGTCAGATCCTGGGATCTATCCTATCTCGAGTTGGTCTGATTTGCATCAGATCGCTTCAGAGTAGTCCTTTCTCGATCATAGATCGAGATTGACATTTTCTCGACAGAAAAACAATCGAGAAATAATTTAGAACAAAAAGAATATTTTGAAAATTTATCTTTCTTACGTTCAACCACGTTGTTTATATCTCACTATGCCTGTATAACAAAAGGGTGAACGAATAGTTAGCAGACAGAACGCGACAAATTTGAATACGACACATTCTAAGCACGACACATTTTTCTGCTGGACTGCACGACACATAAACACGACGCATTTAAATTTAGTGTGTATGTTAATTCACGATCCACAACAACGTGCAACAATAAGAGACATAAAAAATCATCAATGGATGTCCAAAACTTACGAAGAAGGTAATATTACATTATATTATATATAAATAGAAAACCATGATCTATATTTAGATAAAAAAATTGAAGAAATTGTTGAAACATCGAGATCGCTCTCTCTTTTCAAAAGTTATCGTGTAAACGGTCAGTCAGACGGACACATTGACCAATTCTAGAGTGTATTCACCTTTTGAATACACAAAAATTAAAATACAATGATTAACTATTCTATGGAAAATACTCAATAGAATTTTGAACACTTTCTTGAACAGATTCACATCGTTTAGTTATATCTCATATAATGTTTTGAATATTATTAAAAAATAATTTTGATGAATTATCTATTTATTTAAATGTTTTGGTTAATTCAATATTAGCTGCTGAAGCAAATACATGTGAATCAATATCAATAGTTAATGTTCTAAACCATTTATTTTCTTCATTTTTATTTATATCATCAACAACTTTAAATATTTTTTTCTATGTTTCTAAATTGTGTTTTGCTATTTTTTTCAAATACTACTAATAAATATTCTAATATAATCAGCTATATGCTAGCCTCGTAGATAGCCTATATTTCCTATATTTTTAAAATGACTCCTATAATAGACTATATTTATAGATTATTTTGCTATATTTCTATATTTTTACGAAAAGTTAAAGATTTGTATGAAAAAGTCGAAAATTTCTCAGATAAATGTCTAATGTCTAGTTTGGATATTTTCATTGATATTCAAAACATAAACTAAATATTGTTACCTATATGAATCGTACTTATGCCCTATTAGTTCGTTTAGATTTGCATTATTTTTTATATTAGTGTCCTATCAATTGTCAAAGACTGTCTCGTCAGACAGATATAGATAAGAATTTATTTCTAACAAAAGCTATTCAATTATTATATTTTAAATTTATCAGTATTACTTTTATCTCTTTCTAGATTTCACAGTTTACAAGAATACAGATTTACAAGCTTTTGAAATTACTTTTTTCGTTTTTCTTTTCATCTTTATGTATATTCATTCTCGAGAGCTATCCTCATTATAGTATACCATGGAGGAATGTTAATCCATTCGGACTTACACATGATTAAAGAAAACTTAATTCAATCTGTTTAAACAAGATATAAATGAACTGAAACATATATAACGACTATTTGAAGTACATAAAAAAAGTTTATGCAGATTTTCATATATGAAAACGAGTGCAATGTAACAAAATATTTTTAAGAGGCAATACTAAAATAACTTCATTAATTATCAAAAAAATAGACTATAAGGATCACATTGCAATATAAGTAACATTCAATTGAAAAGCTTTTTGGACAACATGATGAGAGGTGAAACACACATATAAATATAAGCCATTGAGAGAACTTTTTTACTAATTGCACTGCTTGTCTTTTCCTCTATCTATACTTTTAGGGTATGGGTGGGGTGTGTGGGTGTGGGTGGGGGGGGGGGTGGGTGGGGGGGGGGGTGGGTGTGGGTGTGGGTGTGGGTGTGGGTGGGTGTGGGTATGGGTTTGACTGTGAGTAGATAATTACCACTCACACCAACAGCCTCACCCACATCCACACCCTCAAGAAGTGACACTGTTCGTTCGTTATTGTTTTCATAGAACAATTTATATTTGTTTAGTGAGCTTGAAATAATACTTCATCTATTCTATTTTATATAATAACTTCCAACTGATCGTATATAAAATGTTTTCGCGTTTTTTTTCTTTAGTTATTACAATGCCTCGAACATGTGCCATAGAAAAATGTAAACGTAAATCACGTTCGATATGTTCATGTTGTAATAAAAGTCTTTGTCGTGATCATTTAAAATAACATGATGATTTGAATAATCCTCAATTGAATCCTTTAATTAATGAATTTAATAAATTGGATGAACAACTCAAATCATCAAATACAGACAAATTAACTGGTGATTGTCGTCAAAAACTTGTTCAATGGCGTGATAATTGTTGTAAAATGATAAATCAATTATATGAACAAAAAATTCATGAACTTGATCAACGTTGTTTACAAAAACTTGATGAACAACGAACACAATTAAATCAAATACGTTCAAAAATGACTTAACTCATACGTCAAAAGAAAGCAATCAAGGACATATTGATTTAACAACATTAGCTATATGTCATATTCAGGATGGAATAAAAACTATTGAAAATACACGTTTACAACTCGAAATTCGTCCATTAACAATAGATGATAGTTTGGTTTTTATTGAAGAATTTGAACCAAATAAATGTAATTTAGTAAATCTGACAATACCTTATCGAACAATTGACTGTTCAGGTGAATGGGGACCTGTGCTTGCTAATAATAATCGATACTTATTGGTAGATCGACATCCAAATTTATGTTTAATTAATCAAAAACTTGAAATAATTAAAAAATCTCCATGGGAATTCGATTTTATTCGTGATATTTGTTGGTCATCAACATTAAATTGTTTTATTGTAAAAACTAGAACTCGTGAAATTTATCTTATTAATGAAAAAACATTAGCAACAGAACTTGTTCAAACTATTGAAGAACAAGATTGGTCATCTTGTACATGTTCTGATACATCTTTTTATTTAACTGCACGTCGAGAAGGAACAAATATTTTTGAATTTAATCTTTTATCTTCATTTGCTTTGATAAAACGATGGAAACCTCCACATTCATGTAAATATTATAAAGTTATGCTTAATACTGCATATAAAAATAAAACACTTGCTTTAGTTATTTCACATTCTACCACTAGTATTGTACATTTAGAACGTCATTCATCAATAACACTCGATCGACTTTGGTTACTTGACCTTAATATTTCACATACAATTGGTCAACCATTAATACGTTGTTCTTCATTGACATGTGATGAATGGATTGTTGTGGATAACAATACTTCACAATTAGGGTGTGGGTGTGGGTGTGGGTGTGGGTGTGGGTGTGGGTGTGGGTGTGGGTGTGGGTGTGGGTGTGGGTGT